TGTGTGTTTTGTGTGTGTGCGGGGGGGGATTCCACGTTCTGTTTGTCGATGCCCTGAGCTAATCGACCGGATCTGAGGTGTTTTCTGTCTTGCGGTGTTGGCCTGCTCTCGTGAGTCAATAGTCTGCCACTTCTCTAGTATTCTGCCTTGCTTTTCTGACAAGGGCTTCCTCATTTCATCTTTGTGAACTTTCGATCTTGGCCCACGCTTCATCCTCCAGTTTTGATGAAGCTTTACTCTTCTTCAAGAGCCGGTGTTGCGCTGGGGTATTTGGGCTGTGGTGTGTTTGGGGAAGGGCTTGAGAGCAGTCAAGGTGACCAACTGCTGGCTGGTGCTTTACACCTGGTTGCAGCACACGGATGTTGACATCCCCCACTTCGACAAGGAGGGGACTCTCTGCCTGTCAACTTCGTTTTTTTCTTTTTTTTAAGGGCCAGCACAAGGTGGCAGGGCCCAAAAATGGCCATGTTGACAACTGCCCTATGGCCTGATGGGACTCCAAAGCTTGTGGTTCAGCAGACAATGATCCTGACTGATCCTGACCAATTCAGCTATGGTGTGATCATAGGTGGTTACAATCGCAAATAGAACGATCCGGGTGTTGAAGGTGAAGGGACCGTCCCAACAGTATGTGCGGATATCCGCCCTTTGAATCTGTGCATGGGTTTTGGGTACAGACATTTAGTACCAGGTACTGTTTATATATCAGGTCAGGCTTGTTGTGGTTTGATATTGTGGATTCCACTGGCTTGGTTTAGTTCGAGGCTCATTCACCAGTGCCTCCTAGTTTGCCAAACGCCTTTGCCTGGGGTTAGGCATTGTCATTGCAATCCCGGACCACGACAATTATTTTGAAGGCAGCCATGAGTTCTGTTCCCGTCGCCCACGGAACAAAACACATCTTGGGCATGGATTGGCGACCAATGACAATGGTTTCTGCTAAGAGAGCCATGACCATGAGATATCATGAGCATAACTTTGAGCAGCAATTGTGTTTATATATAAATATATAAATTATATAAAACATATATATATATATAGTTTTTTTTTCTGATGATGGGTTTTGGCTTCGGGGGAACTCTCGAAAGGTCTGTAGCCTCTCGCGAGGGCGGGCGGTCTGACACAGGCGAAGCCACTTCACGAAGGCTAGCGAGAAGTGATTGGCCAGCGAAGAATCGTTAAGAACACAAGCGGAAGCCACTCCGCGAAGCCGCCGTCTTCGAGGCTTCACAACAAGACCCTTCCACAAATTCTGGCCTCGTGAAGCGAACTGCAGACTCTCCGGCAGTGTATCAGTCCCGTGCCGCTACGCAAAACTTTGCCTACTTGGTTGACCATGTGGGTAGGGACTTTCCTTCGGGTGGGGTCATGTCAAAGAGGTAATGTATGCGGGAACCCACCTGGCAGGTTGTTTTTGTGGGGTCTGGACAATGCAAAAATGGGACGCTGGGTCCTTGGGTTTGGACAGGAGCAATGCAGCCAATTGGCAGATGACTCCTTCAGCTTGCGGGTTTTTGTCGGTGAAGCGGTGAAGGGAAACAACAGCTTAGAGAGTCTTCACTCAGAGTATGTTTGAACGAGGTCACAAGAAGTTTGCTCAAGATGGCTGAAACCTGGGCTGACTTGGGCCCTCAGTGGGGGGCTCTGTGCTTGAGGCTGTTCCTTGTTTGCGGAGTTGGCCTGCGGCCATTTGCATTGCAACGAGTTCTTATAAACATTTATAAACGTGGTCCGATCCCTTGTGTGGAAAATCATGTCCGCAGCATCCGATTTCGGAGCCTGTTTGTTAGAACCCATGCAATGGGTCAAGTATGGTTTGCCAAGAAATGAAGAAGATGAATCCTCTGAAAAACTTGTTTTCTTATTTCTGGTGAGAATCAACCCCAGCTTGTAAGTAGGCGGGGTGTTCCCCTCCAAGCGTGATGATTCCCCACTGAACCCAGGGACACCTCCCGCATTACTAAACTGGGGTTGATTTATGTGGGGTCAACATTACTGTAGATGAACGGAATCCGACCACGAAATGAGCTACCATGCTTGATCCATTGTTTGTGTTTGGTACTTTGTCTAAAGATATTTGAATATTTAACCATTTGTGTGGGGTATTTAGGTGAAACCCAGCTTGATGTTTTTCCCCAGAGTTGTGCAAAGCTCCTGAGAGGAGAACTGGACTTGGGTGAAGGGTGCCTTTCACACCGTCGACCGGCCCTACGGCCCTGGCCTCATGCCATGGGGAGTTCGGAGGTTGCGAGGGATGTCCATTGACTGGGGGTTTGCGTGACTAGTTTTTGGGAGCTAGGACCTTCGAAAAACCCCCTCAATCTTCTTCTTTTTTTTTCCGGTTGTTTTGGTTTTCCTTCAAAGCAAGCCAAGAAGGGTACTAGAAGGAGAGTTGACCATGGCTGAAATCTTGACGCCATGTGCGTCTGAGGGCCGGTGCTGGACTATCTCCACCACAAGTGCAGATCCCGGGGGGCAGGGCAGCGTTTCTGGTGGACGGCCACAACTACCTCTAGATGGTTTGGATGCGCTCTTTGTGGATTTCACCCGTTCTTCCCACATGCAGGTTCTTTGTTAGTACTCTTTTCGTAGTCTCTTAATATCCTGCAGGAGTGGATCCACAAGAACCGCATCCACACCGTTTCCTAGTTTTTCTAGGAAACGGTGTGGACGCCCCTGAAAATGTGGAATTTCTCATATGCCAAGCTTGCCTTGTCCCCTTCTTTTTGCAAAAAGAGTCACTTTTTGTCGACTCTTGGGTTTTGCTCACATGTCCCTGTGCTAACGGAAGCACTTTTAAATGCTGCCCATGTGTTCAACCAGCAAGCTGAGCTCATGAGAAGACGCCACTCTGTTCAGCTTGCGTCACTCTGTCTTACCTCCAAAGTGCTTTTTGGATCCATTGAATTCTGACAACCTACTTCGACCAAGTTCCGCGTCTACACCTGGCCATGTGTGTGTGTGTATGTGCATCGCAACAGAAGTTATGCCACTGGCAACGGGATTGCACAATTGGGCATCCGCCACGTCATTGAAACGGGGACAGCTGGGAGGTCAGCATGTCCAGTAGCCTACGTTCAATTTGGGCAGCAGACTAGCTCACTGCATTTTGCCTCTAAGACGGTTCCAGCCGTCCAAGTTTCCTGCCCATTGAGGATCGGCTCCACGCACGTTGCGCACCATGTTTGCTCTGCCATTCCGTTCTACAAGGCAACAGGGGTCGGTGTCCGGAAGAGTCCCCAAGTTTGAAAACGCCGAAAGGGGCCCTTTCGGCCGCTGAATTGAAGGTCCAGTTGTGGGAGTTGCTGGCAGTCGGCATCTTGCGTTGTCTTAGAGTGGATCTTGAGTCAGGTCTTGTAGATCTGCCGAAAGTCCTACCTGTGGAAGATACCGTCACGGGGGGATGGCAGAAGCCGATGAGGTTTGGCTTGCACCCCCGCCCGTTGTAGTTTCCTTGTTTGCAGAAGCTTTTCGTCAGGTCCCAATGGAAAGGGCTCATTTGTTGTTTCGGCTGCAATGGGCTGATAAAACAGACAAGTGGGTTCGCCTTAGGAATACTGTGCCACTTCGTGCTTGTTGGCGTGACTGGAGTTGGTGACTTGGGGGCCTCCGCTGTCTCCCTCCCTTTAAACTCCGACAAACAACTTGAATGCTACTAGGTTTGATCTTCAACCTTCACTTTTTGGTTAAGTGTTTGTCTTCCCTCAACCTACAACAAGTTGAACTGTTCTTGAGGCATCCCTGTTGGGGAGAGGTTGCAACCTGAAACTTTGCCAGCACAAGGGCGTCCTTTGGTTTCCTTGTGGCACCTTCAAATTGGGGGGGGGTTGCCAGGGAGTCCGCTCGTGTTGGGTTTCTGTTCTGGGACTTTATTGATGCGAGGGAAACCACAAAAAATGGTGACGAGGCAGTCTTACGCCATGGCACAAACATGACGTAGTGATGAGTGTATCGGGCCTTTGCAAAGGGCGGCCTTGCAAGTGGCGGAGGTGAATGTGCTAGCTCAGACTCCCCTTCAAGAACAAGGGCATGATTGACTGGGTTGTTTAACATCAGTCCAGCCCTGAACCCAAGCGGATTCGCCGTCAGGACTAGGGATCTTCTTCGCTTCATTTGTTGGTTCGCTCGTTTGTTTCTCAATTGCGCGGGCTCAAATTGGTTTCCGCCCCAAAAACGAAAGCTGCTTCAGGTTTGGTCGATTCCCGTTCCGCCAGGCAAGAAAGGCCACCGAGGCTCTCAAGGAGCGATTCAGTCGGCCATGGACAGGGGGTCCCAATGGCGAACAAAGGGGAACGCTCTTTTTGGATGGTTCAAAGGTCAGAACGCCCAAAAGCCCATGTCCATGTATTTTTGTTGGTTGGGACAGATATTATTTGGAGAAGCACGCAAACAGTGGGCAGCTTCTGTGTGTCCTTTGAATCTCCAGCCAAAAACCATGGGGGGGGGGTCCTTCTCCTTTGAGATGTGACTGCTCGTTTCAGGGGTCGCCTTGTCCAACAAGTCTCACCTTGCACCCCTTACACCCCTTGCCATGTCGTGAGAGCTTTGAAGAGTGACCCCAGTGAGGGTCCCTCTTTGTCAACCCTTCATCAGGGACCCCTGCATTTTCATGTTGAGTCTCTTCGCGGCTGAACGTTGAGATGTATGAGCATGGCTCTTGTGCGCTGACAGTATTGACTTTGTTCCCGAACCTCAAGCATGGAGCCCAGCACAAACTGATCTTTTTTCGAGGAGGTTGTCCTCCTACCCGCCCCCCCCCCAAAAGGGTCCCGGGGTCTCGAATCTTCAGAGAAGGAGCGACCTCTCTGCTCTCTCGCGGACTTCGCCAGGAGAAGTTCCCGAACTTCTACCTCTACGACCCGACCCCGGTTCACAAGGCCGGGGGGTTCGATCAGGTTGCCTCAGGTCAACCTTGAAATTGCCAGGTGTCTTTCGCAAAAAAGATGGCCAAACAAGTTCGAAGCTTGTCCGAGTCGAAGTGGCGCTCCCAGATCAGTCCACTCCAAGTGACCTACCCGCACAGTTTGGGCCAGGGAAATCCAGGGAGCCTTTGAGACATGACCGAGTTTGGTTTGTGTGTTGCCCGGATTAAAACTGGTTTTGGGTCTTCTGACATTTGGTGTGGGTGCCTTTTCCGGGTCATGAGGCTTGCTAATCTAAGCTTTGATTCTGCGGGTGTATTGAAACTAGGATGGTTGCTTTCAGGAACCCTGTGTGCCACATTGCGGGAGAGCTGACACAGTGTGGCTTCCTCCTGATCTGATATATTCAGTGCTCTCTTTGGAGTTCTTGTAAAGGCGAAACCCATATACCCCCCGTTTGCTTTGACGCCGCAGCGTTTGTTTCTGTTGTTTATGGAGAAAACCCTAGGGTTGCCCAACCTGGAGACGCCAACAAAGTGTTTCTTGGCCCCTTTACCTCGCAGGGTTGCGTTTTTTATGATCGGCCTGCCCATGTCCAGGCCCTCTGGCGAGTGTCCTCCCGCTGCACTGCCGTGCAGAAGGCGAGGATGTTGTTTGAGTTTGTGGTCCGTTGGGGCTTGCGGCTTTGGGGACTCCATAATACTTGCAGACACTCATGTGCTCATGTCCATGAGATAGGGCATGTGTGTGTGTGTCATATTCTGTGCAGAGCCGCCAGAGTTTTGCTGGGATTCGCCATTGACCCCCCGTCGCGGTCTAGAATCGGTTGTCCCACATAGGCAACCACATGCTACTGTCTTCCCCTTTTGTTCCTTCTTTTACATAGCTAGCTAGCAACCAGCAAGCCAGCCAGCAACCAACCAAACAAACACGGGCGCGTAAGCAAAACATGATGCCGTTGAACCAGTGGGCGAACGTACCGGCGGGGTAGGCAGGCAAGCGATTAGAAACTAACCAACGTGAACCAATCCTTGTACATAGGAAGATCAGGCCCGGGAAACAAGGCACAACACCAACCATTCATACCGGATGACGGGTAGAACGTGTCCCAAACCTGGGCGCAGGGCAGGAGACGTTGCCAAACTGGCAGCAGAAGTGGCTGAAGGGGCCACTGAAGCTTGGCTTTGATTGAATCTCAACTTTCCATTGAGTGGCACCGTTTCTGATGTTAACATGGCCTCCCAGAAGCACTTCGGGCCTGATGGACGGAGATAGTAGTATCACGGACGCACAGCGCCCAAGAGTTGCTTCATGGGGCGAGCCCAACGCAGGTGCTGTAGATCAGTTTCTTGCTCCCTGAGTTCCTGGACTTGAAACTGTTGGGGAAGTCCGTTTTAGCGCAACGACTGCATGTGCTCCTGTAGGGTTCATCGCCAAGCACATTTTGCTGAGAACGGAGAAGTGGAGGGATTGGGTAATCATGATTTAACAATGACAGTCTCTAAGCTATTCCCAAAATGGTTGGATTACCGTTGGCTTTCCCTTCAAATGATGCCACAAGGCAGCACCATCCAAACAGATACGCCCTGATGAATACTACCCTGCAAAGGAGCGTGGCTTGCACAGAAAGGCGGTCCCCAAAAAAGAGATTTCTCCACAAATGGTTTGTTGGGTTGCGTATTAATTTGTCGGGGGTACTGGCAGAGCCCTTGGTATCTTATACTTGGACGCGAGTCTCACTTATGAAAGCTCTGGTATGGGTCCCAGAAGACATCCTACAATTGAACAGATAGTCTGTCATTGAGCGATTAGTATTGACTCAGACCCATAGAAGCCCATAAACGTGATTTTCCCCGCAGTGTTCGCTAAACTCCAACTACCATAAGCAGCTTGATTTGAAATTATATCACAATATCTCCATCATCCACCTGCCACTTAACCTTTTTCTTTCGGACATACTTAACAAACATAAGCATGGATGTATGTTTGATATGGTTTATGATGCCTAGTTGGACGACTGGTAGTCGATCAATGATGATCATCTTAAACATAGTTGGGAAGATCATTCGTAGCTATGTCATAGTTTGGAAAAGAGAGATGTGTTCATGATATGGTTGATAGTCAATAGTTGGGTTCCATCATCAACCTACCTGCTAAGCTAGTTATTCATCCAATGAGTTCATTGTAAGTAGGAACACAATGGGAAATTGATTTATGGTTGTTCCCCAAGGGTTTTTCCAAGAAACAACCTAATATTAAGCCAGGTTGCTTTGTCTCAATCATCAATTTTGGTTCTTCCCACCATCCTCGAAGAGCATTGGCTTTCGCGACAGTAGGCTGAACGTCTGAACCCAGAATATTATGAGCCCCGGTATGACCCCCTTGTTCTTCATCGCTTATTGGCAGCAAATCGTGTCATCATGCGAACCCCATTGCCAAGGGGGCCCCAATTGGCTATGGGCGCATAGGCTCATAGGGTGCAATCAGCCTTTGAGCCAGGCAGAGGGCAACAACGGCATGTACATCTTCACCTGAAGCGCCAAAAAAAGACGGTGATGCCAAGTGCAAGCATTTTTTGTCTCAAGGTGCAGTCTGTGCAGCAAACAGCTTGGTTTGGGCAGAGATGTTTGTGTCCTCC